TCTCTTATGTTTCCATCCTCAATGTCCCGTACAAAACTATGACTATTGGGACAAAAAATTGTTTGAGAGTGAAAATGGTCTTAATACTGTACTGTCATTATTCAATTTAACAGCCAGGTCACTACACAGTAAATTACTGTTTGTATGTACTTCTGATAGCTCAAGAATCATTATGGTACAAGGCTAAGAATTCTTAATTGTAAATTAAAATGAATAAAACAGAACATTTTTACTGTATGTAATAGCCTTGTATATCCACCAAAACTAAATTGTTTTCTAGCTAATTTTATCCATTTTCTGGTTTCATGAAAAAAATCTTCATAACTTAGAAAGTTAAGAGTTAGATCAACAAATAAACAAATCTGAATGTGCATTGTCCTTAAAAGAGAAAAAAATATTCTTTATTTTTGACTTAAAACGGCCTGCATTTAGTTTTTGACTGTTATCATATACTAAAACAATTTTAGTACTAATTCTAATACTACTTGCAAGGCAGTGTTTCATTTCCTCTTTTTACTGAGGTACAGGCAAGTTTCTCCCTGAGAAGTAAGAGAATCAATTTTTGAGACATCAGGACAAACCAATAACTTGAAACGGGCTGTTACATTTTTAGGTACCTCAGTAGAGTTTCAAGCTCTTCTTGCTGAAATAAAGCAGAAGGACAAGCAACGGGAGGAACTGCTAATGAACCTGAAGGTTTGTTTTCAAGACGGGAATTTCACAGGTAGCCCTTAAGGTACTAAGGGGGCTCAAGAGAGTGCACTCAGTCCGGACAGGGTAGCTTGCTAAACTGCAGGGGTCAGTTGTTCAAAGGGTAAATTACACTATCCACCAGGGCTGAGTTGGACAAATTGCTATCCAGTGGATAGTGCGTTACCCATTGGAAGCGTTATAAGCCCTTTGAATTAATGGAGCGTGATAAATCACTGTCCAGTGGGTAAGTGTTGACAAAAGAAAGTACATCATCCACTTGAAAGTGATTTTTCTGGTGGATAGTGTTATCCATCATTTGATCAGCTGGGGCCAGGTGCCTAAGTACATATGAACTGGGTTAAGGGTGAAAGCATGAATTCAATGTAGGAGACAGTGCACCAAATCTTGTCTCCTATTGGCCCCTTGCTTCCCATTATGCAGGTCAAGGCTGAGTATGTATTAGAGATAGGTTACTATTTTTTAAATATCAACCATACTTTGACTATACAGTGGAATTATGATTTTTTTTTCAAATCTCCAAGGGAAACAAAAATTGGTTTAGAAAATCAGGTAGTTTAGAAATCGGGGGTAAAATAACAGTGTTTGGATGAGGGGAGGGAAACGCCTTATGGTTCAAGTTATCGGTAGATTCCAATAAATTGAGTGTTCAAAAAATCGGGATTAGTATTTTTAGGGGTGAATCACAAAGTGGTAAGATCTAAAAGCCATGCTGTACTTCTTGATTATTATATGGCTTTTGTTAGCAGCCAATATAACACATGCTCTGATTGGCTAATTCTAGGATATTATTCTCCTCACCTGTAAAACCAAAGCAGAAAGCCATACAATACACAACGTAATATTAACCTTGAACGTTCGGTCTTTACCGGTAAAGACCTCGCTCTTGGATAATATGTAGTTATTATTGATAATGAGGGATGGCCCAGGTGATCCTGATGTTCCCCTAAATGCCTTTTGTCAGTTTTAATGCTGCAAAATTATCCTGACTTTTATGTGGCCTTGATTTTACCAATAATTGAAAACTTGAAGCGTTTAGGGCTCATAATGAACGAAAATAAACAGGATTGCCTGCATGTACCTCTAACTACTTTGAATTATGTGACCTATAGCTCCCTTGATATTAATATCGTTGTACTGATTTTCCTCGTAGGCCATGACAGACAAAACAGCCAACTACAAATCCAGGCTTCAAAAGGCAGAAAATAACAAAAAGTCACAGATAAAGATTTTGAAGAAAACCCACGAATCACAACTGGCAATGAAAGGAGAGCTTATTCACAACTTAGAGGAATTAATTGAAGAACAAGAAAGCAAAATTGCCGAACTTGAAAGTCACATCAAAGGATCAAGCCCTTCACAGTCATTGCCGGCAGCGAGCACAAAATCCTCAAGTATTAAAAAACTAGTCGACTCAATAAACGATCTTCATACTGAAAAAAGCAGAATACACGAAACGTGGCTGTCGACACAGTCGGAGCTCGAAACAGTCAAGCATGAACACAAAGAGACAGTCAATAATTTGTCAGAAAGTATTTCAGATTTAGAGTCTAAACTCCGCAAGTCACAAGCCGAGATTATCAAGTTACAGAATGTTGGAACAGAAAGTGTAAGTGTTTTTATACATATTTTGAAAATGCACCTCACACCACCAACAGTAATTTAAAACAAAATGCTCATATGATAAAATGCTTATTGACTGAGTGGGAAGGCCGGACGGGAAAATATTTGGCACTCGGTCAGGTCGCACAGAACTCGTTGCGCTCGGTCCCTACGTCCTGACCTCGAGCCAAATATGTTACCGTCCGGCACGCCCACTCAGTCAATAGGTAAATAGCAATATCCCTGATCACAAATATCTGTACATATTTTCGCGCGAAACGGCGTTTCAGGGGTTATTAGTTCTCAGGACAGTAGACAAGGCTTGTGATTGGCTTATTGCGAGTTTGGGTATGATTACACGCGAGACTTGCGAGGAACGTTACGTTGAAACAGTTCCAAACTCATACTGTTAGCTTACACAGTGGACCTATTTATGAAGCTGTAATCATCGCTCACATAAAATCGGTGAAGTGCATCATTCAGAAAAAGGGGAAAAAATCGAACACTCACAACGAAAATGAAATTACTCTCTTTCATCTAGTAATAGCTAGTAATAACAACCACGGCAAACTCAGAGAAAAACTTTCTATTCTAGCGGTACACGGCAAAAAAATAATTAGCGTACGAGCGAACGCCCAGTTTGGTTTGGATATTGGCACCAAGGTAAAAGATTTGGTATTACTGTATATTTTATATCACTTTGAATAACATCATCTAATTGTAGATCAAGCCAAAAGAAAACGACAACAAGCAACTAATTTCCTTGCAAGAGGAAAACGTCGGTTTAAAAAAGAAAATACAGACTCTGGAACACGAACTTCAAAGTGCTCATAAACTACATCACAGTACAAAAAATCAACTTGAAGGGGAACTGCTGAATCTCAAGAAGAAACTGCGAGATGCTGAGGCGAAGTACAGCAGTCTGGCGGCCACGCCTCCCAAGGTTAGTTTATGTAAGATTTCAAGAAGTACTGACTTGCCTTGTTACATGTAAGGTTTCTATATGTATAGAGCGGGTTTCAGTTTTACTGTCAAAGCCAAAACCAAAGTAATCACTCTAGCCAATTATGCACAGACAATTCAATGAACCAATCAAAACTCGAAGTAAACACATGTGGTTGACGCAAAGGGCGGGAAAACGTTTATAAGCCAGTCATGACAGGTTTGGGTTTTACTTCTGATTGGGTCAAAAAGTGGCGTGAGTGTTTTTTTAAGCCAATCGTCGAGTTCGGTATTGCAAAACCGATTTCTTTTAAACAGCAAATGAAAACTGCGTCAAGCCTTACATGATGGTATATAGTTTACGTCGCAAGGGATTAGGCTTGGTGCTTTCTGGAAATCGTACAAAGATCCTTAGACCCATAAATGGGTGGACCCAAGTGAAGTGTATGCTGATCTTCAACCTGCGTGGAAAGGACACAGCGTGGGAAGGTTGAAGGGACAAGTGAAGGGCACTTCTACCCACTGTAGGAAACCTAAATCTTGAAACAGGCTAAACAAAGGGTATAAAATTAGTCACCAAAGTATTGGAAGTTCAAGTATTGAAAGGACCGTAACGACTAAAGCGCGGGGGAAGGGACGCGTGAGGGGCACGTTTAGACTGTAGAGAAAATCTTAAAAGAAACTGAACAGTGCACACAAAAGTCTCCATAGCATTGAAGAATTGAAAACCCTAAGAACTAAACGCCTGAAAAGTTTGAGAGATTGATGAATCCTTGCCAATCTGTTGTTTTATCGCTTCATTTCGTATTGACATAGATCATTGTAATTGTCATTTTCTCGTTTAATTTGTTCCAGACGAGAACCATTTCCGTTGTTTCGGAAGAAACTAAGAAGCAGCTTGATCNATTCTCATCCTTTCGGTCAGGGCCAAAGTAACAGGACCTCTACAATTTTGCAAACTAAAAAAAGCCTGTAAAACTGTGCTCAGCCTGTCAATTGTTCAGGGGTTTCATTAATTGACCAGCAGTGAGGATGATTTTGCCAGGTGGTTTGACCATCTAGTGGGAAGTGTTTGTTACAAATCCTGTAGTTCAGATCAAATAGTTTTGCCAGTCTCAGTTAATGCATTAAACATCGTCCTATTACTTTAAGATTGTATATGTATGCTTTGGTCTTTCATTGAAAAAAATATTTGTTTGATGCATTTATTTTAAGAGTCTGCTTGATATGGACTCCCAAATAATATGAACACTTTTGCATGCTCCTTTAGGGTCCATATTAATCAGCTATATGGTATTGGAACCAGCGAGAGGACCCTGTGATGCTGACCATAAGGTTTTCAGCCTCTGCACTGTACCAGTTTTGAATGTACATGGCTTCTCTGACATCATTTGAACACAGTCTACATATGGAAAACAGCTGCTGTGAATTTCAAGTGCATTATCACCTCTATTGATGCCAACATGGAGAAACTGCAGATAAAAGGTAGTACAAAATATGGATCATATAACGTCAGGTCTTGGAACCAAAGATAACCTCCTGTCTTGAATGATTCTACAGGCAAATAAGCCATTCCTCTAATGGCAAAGAAAAATGAAATAAACATTGGTAGCTGAACAAGAGGACCAAGTATACTCTGAAAAAAAAGCACAAAGATGGCAATTAGAATTTTACATTCAGATTCGGTGGCATTTTATTATTTTCAAAATAGTTAACACTAACAAGTACATAAAGAACTTGGAATTTAACTAAGAATATATATTTCCAAAAACACTCAGTTTCATTCATCTTGTTAACATTTTTTCAATTAAAAGTTGTCATACCTTAAATGGATTGCAATCATTTTCTTTGTAAAGCTGCTTCATCTGCGCAACCAAAGCTGCACTGGCAACTGAATCCTGGGAATTCATCAGTTCCCTCATCTTCGCTTGAATCTCTTCAATTTGAGGTCTAATATTGTTCAGTTTGGCTGCATTTGCACTTGCCTTTATAGTCAGTGGAAGAACCAACAGTCGAAAGCATACTGTAACAAGAGCAATAGAGGCACACCAGGATATATCACCATAAACATGGACTAACTCCAGACATTGTTGAACAAGGCCTACTGGTGACCATCCACCTAAACCTAAGCTTGACAGGCTTGGTTCACAAACAGAAGAGACGGTATCTGCCATGTCCTTAAGCATTTCATTGTTTGTTGTCATGGAATCTAATGCTGACACATTCTCTTGTAGAAAGGGATTAGCTCCTTGGTCATCTTGCAATAGCTCTGTGTTATCTACGACAGACAGCAAACAAATATTTTACTTTTCAACACCGACTATAATATTTATAATAAAAATATTGTTGTTTCATGTGTATGTTAGGTCAGAATGAGTTCAACTTACCTGAATTTGTTTCAACTTAGGTCAAATTTTTCAGACCAGTTTTTTATTATAATTTATTATTTTTTTCACTTTTTGGGGAGTTCATAAAAAGAATAACAGGCACACCAACCACCACCCCTCAGTTCCTAACACCACCCTACCCTACTTGATTTTTTTTATTATTATTTTCTACTCACCCAGATCAGAACCTTGATCTCTTCTGTCCACCTTCATCTCCCCTAGGTCACGCAAGCAATCATTGCAAATTTGCTTATATTACTTTTTTGTTGGTCTCATAAGTTATTGGTCCCAGATTCACCTTTCCCCTTTTGATGTAATTAATTAAGATAGGTTGAAATCATTTTGACCTAACACTATAACATATATGTTCCATATTTATCTTACAAGATAATGAGACAATGCAATCTTCGTTAATTTATTTTCTTGACAATAATGGAGAGTCCAAAATAACAACATGAACAGAAAAAAAATTACTTTACTTCCAAATCAATCACATTTATTCATGGTCTACAGTCTTAATACACTGTAAAGATGACGTCCTAACATAAGTTTAAATCCCATATCTACTTTTTTTAGAAAATGTTTGGATATTTAATTTTTATGGTTGAATTGGCAGAGCTCTTCTTTGAAAAACTCTTTTTTGGGTCAAGAAGGTAAAATTGGCAATCTCCCAGATTTAGATTTTTTTAGGTTGGCAGCTCTGTAGTTCTGTTCATATTACGCATAGTGGTTGGGAAAAAAATGTAAATTTAAGTTCATGTCAATAGTCATTAAATAATCCAAGGGCTGTGGACATCACATTTGATTGTTATTCATTATGAGGTAAAACATTCCCACTGTATTGTAATCTTAAAGCTATTGCCTGTGCTTGTCATATTGAAGCAGACTGCCACGTCTCTAATGACTTTATTTATTATTGTTCTAGTAGCTCTATATATTATTTCAGGAGTGAATGTCACGTAACGTCATCATACATGTCGTACCTGAAGAGCTCCTTGCACTCACTGCAAAGCACCTTGCATTTTGTGTCCAAGGAAACAGTCCTTGTCTGACACTGTTGGAAATGGACAATGACGACGTCCCAAAATTGTATCTCCTGGTTAAGCCAGTCGTGGAATAATTTCTAGAAGCAATTTCTCCATGAAACGGAAAACAAGCCTGCAAATTAATATCACACAAACATCACACGGAAGACCGATCTAGAAAGAACGAGAAGCAGTCAGCATGGGTAAAGTTAGCAGTCTTTCGATGTATGAAGCACTTAAATCGAAACTAACGATATTCCCTTACCTTTCCCTTCATTTTAGTAGAAATTCGTGAAGTTTTCAGGCATTTCGTCGTTACATGAAACGGCTTCCCCACACGTGCAAATAGGGCCGCCATCTTTGGTGGAGAAGTACATCAAGTATGCTAAAGCAAATGTCCTCTGTAAGGCCAGGTACGGCTGGGCTGGGGATCGTTCCCAGATTCCTTCAGTCCGACTTGACAACATTCTGTACAAGTGAAGACCAGTCTTTATTTTGTCTTTTTTTTTCTGTTTCTCTCTCTCTTCTTCTTTCTCAGACACTTAAATAAAGTTCATTAATTCATTTATGTTTTCGTTTTTTGAAGTCATATTCCAAAGTTGAAATGAAACTTTTTGCTGACTGTCACGGCTAGAAATTCACGTAAAATACTTCTCATTTGCCGTGTGGACTTGCGACAATTCAGTCTCAAAGGTACTCTTTTCCCCATCTTGGCCTGGCTCCAGAAGCTTGGCCTGGCGCCAAAAATTCAAACCTGGGATGTGTTTGAACTTGCCCTGCAACCGGGTTTGAGGATTGGGTCTGATTGTTGTCTGTTGCTTGGTGACGTCATCTTGAAGGAAACGCCGGGGTTTCCAAACGGTTTCATTCCTTTGTCGTTCGATTCGCGGATCGTTCATCACAGATTGTAGGACCTGGGAAGACTGAAAAAGCGTAAATGAAGCCGTTTACATGTAAACTGAAAGCGTTGATTAGTGTATTTCCGTGAATATCTTTTCATTGAGCGATCCCGTGCGATTTCATGCAGAATAAGTAGACTCCGAAGGAAGCCGTCGAAACAATCCGACCGAAATTATCTGAAAATGTTGTCTCCTCGAGATCGAGCGATGGTGAGTTTTGAGTTGCATGTAGTTTTCTTGTTAACAAAGCGATTGTAAGTGGCAGTGCTACGAAGATCTGATGATGGCTGTTCTATTTGCTTTAACTTAATGCAATTATCATTATCGACTTTCAGAGTCAGACTTCGCCATTCAAGACTCCGATGTCATTCAAGCCTGACTCGAAACACAAGCCTTCGCCATCAAGGAAAGATTTGTGGAAAGCGGAACTAGGACTCGATGGTGAGTTTAAATGGCCCAGCTGCATTCTTAAATTATATCTGCGCTGCTGAGAAAAAATCTTTGAAAAGAAGTTTACAGTCGTCTCAAAGTCATCATGCCTTGTTTTGAAAGTGACAGTAGTCGCGTGTGACGCGTTTTAGCTCATCACTTGAGTTTGCAGAGATGATTGTTTTTCTCAACTTTTTATTACTCTTGTTTTTAAATCAGATGATGATTCGTCTCCTGAAGACGGGCAGTCCTCGAGTGGGGATGAAGAGTTAGAGCCCGAGGCTGATCAGTTGTCTAGTCGAGGTGAATTGAAAAATAATCAGGCACTGTACTATGCACAGCGTCTTTAGAACGTTGCGTAATTAATTTAAAAGCTGGATTCAGTATTCCCTTACTTATAAGTCAAATTCCAGCATGGATGATTTCTGCCACCTGTTGCGTTTCTGTTATCGAGTGATTTATGATCTGTCGTTCAAAGGCTTCAGTTAGTCTCCTGGAGAAATGTTTCAATGTCAATATCTTCAGCCCTGTCGTTTTGAGATCTGTTGTTCCGCTTTGAACAATATTATTAATTAATTTGTATTTCGCTGTGGGAACATTTTTTATGTAAAGCTTGGATTTAAATTTTAATACTGTCATTTCATCAAACTAAAACGTAATTATAAACANAGGTCAAGGCTGAGTATGTATTAGAGATAGGTTACTATTTTTTAAATATCAACCATACTTTGACTATACAGTCAAATTATGATTTTTTTTTCAAATCTCCAAGGGAAACAAAAATTGGTTTAGAAAATCAGGTAGTTTAGAAATCGGGGGTAAAATAACAGTGTTTGGATGAGGGGAGGGAAACGCCTTATGGTTCAAGTTATCGGTAGATTCCAATAAATTGAGTGTTCAAAAAATCGGGATTAGTATTTTTAGGGGTGAATCACAAAGTGGTAAGATCTAAAAGCCATGCTGTACTTCTTGATTATTATATGGCTTTTGTTAGCAGCCAATATAACACATGCTCTGATTGGCTAATTCTAGGATATTATTCTCCTCACCTGTAAAACCAAAGCAGAAAGCCATACAATACACAACGTAATATTAACCTTGAACGTTCGGTCTTTACCGGTAAAGACCTCGCTCTTGGATAATATGTAGTTATTATTGATAATGAGGGATGGCCCAGGTGATCCTGATGTTCCCCTAAATGCCTTTTGTCAGTTTTAATGCTGCAAAATTATCCTGACTTTTATGTGGCCTTGATTTTACCAATAATTGAAAACTTGAAGCGTTTAGGGCTCATAATGAACGAAAATAAACAGGATTGCCTGCATGTACCTCTAACTACTTTGAATTATGTGACCTATAGCTCCCTTGATATTAATATCGTTGTACTGATTTTCCTCGTAGGCCATGACAGACAAAACAGCCAACTACAAATCCAGGCTTCAAAAGGCAGAAAATAACAAAAAGTCACAGATAAAGATTTTGAAGAAAACCCACGAATCACAACTGGCAATGAAAGGAGAGCTTATTCACAACTTAGAGGAATTAATTGAAGAACAAGAAAGCAAAATTGCCGAACTTGAAAGTCACATCAAAGGATCAAGCCCTTCACAGTCATTGCCGGCAGCGAGCACAAAATCCTCAAGTATTAAAAAACTAGTCGACTCAATAAACGATCTTCATACTGAAAAAAGCAGAATACACGAAACGTGGCTGTCGACACAGTCGGAGCTCGAAACAGTCAAGCATGAACACAAAGAGACAGTCAATAATTTGTCAGAAAGTATTTCAGATTTAGAGTCTAAACTCCGCAAGTCACAAGCCGAGATTATCAAGTTACAGAATGTTGGAACAGAAAGTGTAAGTGTTTTTATACATATTTTGAAAATGCACCTCACACCACCAACAGTAATTTAAAACAAAATGCTCATATGATAAAATGCTTATTGACTGAGTGGGAAGGCCGGACGGGAAAATATTTGGCACTCGGTCAGGTCGCACAGAACTCGTTGCGCTCGGTCCCTACGTCCTGACCTCGAGCCAAATATGTTACCGTCCGGCACGCCCACTCAGTCAATAGGTAAATAGCAATATCCCTGATCACAAATATCTGTACATATTTTCGCGCGAAACGGCGTTTCAGGGGTTATTAGTTCTCAGGACAGTAGACAAGGCTTGTGATTGGCTTATTGCGAGTTTGGGTATGATTACACGCGAGACTTGCGAGGAACGTTACGTTGAAACAGTTCCAAACTCATACTGTTAGCTTACACAGTGGACCTATTTATGAAGCTGTAATCATCGCTCACATAAAATCGGTGAAGTGCATCATTCAGAAAAAGGGGAAAAAATCGAACACTCACAACGAAAATGAAATTACTCTCTTTCATCTAGTAATAGCTAGTAATAACAACCACGGCAAACTCAGAGAAAAACTTTCTATTCTAGCGGTACACGGCAAAAAAATAATTAGCGTACGAGCGAACGCCCAGTTTGGTTTGGATATTGGCACCAAGGTAAAAGATTTGGTATTACTGTATATTTTATATCACTTTGAATAACATCATCTAATTGTAGATCAAGCCAAAAGAAAACGACAACAAGCAACTAATTTCCTTGCAAGAGGAAAACGTCGGTTTAAAAAAGAAAATACAGACTCTGGAACACGAACTTCAAAGTGCTCATAAACTACATCACAGTACAAAAAATCAACTTGAAGGGGAACTGCTGAATCTCAAGAAGAAACTGCGAGATGCTGAGGCGAAGTACAGCAGTCTGGCGGCCACGCCTCCCAAGGTTAGTTTATGTAAGATTTCAAGAAGTACTGACTTGCCTTGTTACATGTAAGGTTTCTATATGTATAGAGCGGGTTTCAGTTTTACTGTCAAAGCCAAAACCAAAGTAATCACTCTAGCCAATTATGCACAGACAATTCAATGAACCAATCAAAACTCGAAGTAAACACATGTGGTTGACGCAAAGGGCGGGAAAACGTTTATAAGCCAGTCATGACAGGTTTGGGTTTTACTTCTGATTGGGTCAAAAAGTGGCGTGAGTGTTTTTTTAAGCCAATCGTCGAGTTCGGTATTGCAAAACCGATTTCTTTTAAACAGCAAATGAAAACTGCGTCAAGCCTTACATGATGGTATATAGTTTACGTCGCAAGGGATTAGGCTTGGTGCTTTCTGGAAATCGTACAAAGATCCTTAGACCCATAAATGGGTGGACCCAAGTGAAGTGTATGCTGATCTTCAACCTGCGTGGAAAGGACACAGCGTGGGAAGGTTGAAGGGACAAGTGAAGGGCACTTCTACCCACTGTAGGAAACCTAAATCTTGAAACAGGCTAAACAAAGGGTATAAAATTAGTCACCAAAGTATTGGAAGTTCAAGTATTGAAAGGACCGTAACGACTAAAGCGCGGGGGAAGGGACGCGTGAGGGGCACGTTTAGACTGTAGAGAAAATCTTAAAAGAAACTGAACAGTGCACACAAAAGTCTCCATAGCATTGAAGAATTGAAAACCCTAAGAACTAAACGCCTGAAAAGTTTGAGAGATTGATGAATCCTTGCCAATCTGTTGTTTTATCGCTTCATTTCGTATTGACATAGATCATTGTAATTGTCATTTTCTCGTTTAATTTGTTCCAGACGAGAACCATTTCCGTTGTTTCGGAAGAAACTAAGAAGCAGCTTGATCAAATGATTGCGCAGAACAAAGAACTTGAAGAAATTCTTGCAAAGGCGAGATCGGAGTACAACGCTAAGGTACGTCATAATTAAGTCTCCCTTATTCGGGAAAAAAAATTCCATGCGCTAAGATATTGTGTTTTATTCTGTCTCCTTAGGTATCAGCTCTACAGGCTGATGTCAAGTCTTTGAAAACCAACGTAGAGGAGAGTACAAGAAATGAGCAGAAAGCTTTGGCCGATTGTCGGACGCTACAAAAAGTTGTAAAGGAAATGGGCTCTCTTGAGTCTGCACTAAAGCAGAAGGACAGCAAAATAAAATCACTAGAAGAGGAGGTACGAGTTTGTTTACACGTTAGGACCAATATCCTATGCCCTTCTGTGTCCAATTCTCATTTTGCCTTGTCAAGCCTGAGTGACATTTTTGGAACAGCTGGTAAAGTAGCTTAGTGGTTGCGCACTAGAGGGAACTTGCTGTCGAACGTGAATAAGTTAACAGTTAGTGTGATCTCTCCTTTCTTTCTGTCGCTCAGATTGTTTTTCTCGCCTCCTCCCTCACCCCTCCCCCCTCCTCCCTTTCCTTGGAGACCCACGGGCAGTTAGTTGGGGCGGGAGGAAATAAATGGGGCAAAATTTGAAGCATCGAAGCCTTCTACGCTTCAAATTTTGCCCGATTTATTTCCTCCTGCCCCAACTAACTGCCCCTGGGTCTCCGAGGATGTTGCCCCCGCACCCTTTCCCTACTTTCCTCTGTTCTAACATTTGTTTATGTATTTTTTTCCTGCGTTACACATCCTCTGTACAATCTTAGAGCTAAGAATTGGCTTGGGAAACTGCGCGAATGAGTACTTTCCTGGCAAGTAGACACGGATCTCAGCTACTGACTTGGTCTCCTTTCCTTGGGTTGATTTAATAAACGAAAATTGACAATCTCCTTTTTCTTGTGATGTTTTAGTTAATAATGGAAAAAACCTTTTTGTTATTCCAACAAACAGATCAGCAAATACAAGTCAGACATCGATCAGCTTGGGCAAGAATTTGAACAACAGATGAAAGATTTCGACGAGGAAAAAAGAAAACTTCTAGCAGAGGAGAGAGCCAAGACGGAAAGAGAAACAAGCTTGATGCGCTCCAAACTAAAAAGTGTCACACACCAGATGGGAGTGATGAACAATATCCTGAAAGAATTAAAACGAGAGCAGCAAGACCTTAGAATAAGTTGCCTAAAACTTGGAACTGGAATCAAACCAGCCGTTCGCGAGGCAATTAAAAAAGTAAATGTATTTCTTGTTTTAATTTAATGGTGCAAGGTGCGCCATACTATTTTACTGATGTTAACTTGTAACTACATTGTACAATCGAACCTCCCGTAAGCGTGTATTTTTGTGAGAACAAACAAGCTGTCCGCTTATGAAAGGTTAAAAATGTAGTGTTTGTATGTGGCTGGTGTTTGTATGTCAGTTTATGTGATTGACCAGACTTGTTCGTTAGTACACTAGTAGACGTTTTTAACCATGACTTCCAATACTCCCTGTCTGTGGAAACCAAACTGAACTTCCAGCTGCGTTCATCACTTGTGCTGTGAGTTAACACTTTAACTTCATGAGGAAATTTTCTCTCCGTTTACTAACAGATAACAAAACGGATCGAAGGAATTGACGACAAAAACAAAGAACTTGTAACGAAATATAAGAAGGAGATGACTTTAAGGAAAAAACTGCACAACGAGTTGGTGGACTTAAAGGGCAACATCCGGGTATACTGCCGAGTTAGACCTGTGATAAAAGAAGATGGAGGAGGAAAACATGCTGAAAATGTCATCTCCTTTGATGAGGATGATGATGCCATCCTGAACGTCTTCTCAAAGGGAGCACCAAAACTATTCGAGATGGATAAAGTGTTTAGACCAGAATCCACTCAAGAGCAGGTAAGAAATAATTCAACTGACCTGAACAAATACCGCATTTGATTGACATAGTGTGGTGTAATTTCCACTTGCCATCTTGCATACTTAAGCAACCTCTTCGTCGAAAACTGCGCATTCAGACAATTTGCGGAGATAACGTTTCTCACATCAGAAGAAACCTGTTAGTTTTCTCCCTAAGAGAAAGAAACCGCTACTTAAAGAGGTCGCAGTAATAACAAATCAAGTCGTACCAGGAATTTCACAATTTCCAGGGTTCCAGATAAGTTTTCAAGGTAGGGTGCCAATGAGGAATTCCAAGGGACCAATTTCTATTGCTCCCACCAAATCACTATAAATTTTCTGTTAATTTGTCGGGTCATGTGGCTGACCTCGTCGGGTTTTTACCTGAGACCCCTCACTTATCTGGAACACTGAATTCCTCATCCGCGGATAAAAGCTTGGAGTGAAACAAGCCGGCAAATTTCGGTTTTAATATTGTTCTTGTAAGTGTGTGATTCTCTTATGTTTTTAAAGGTTTTCGAGGAAGTCAAGTCGCTGATTGTGTCCTGTATCGATGGTTATAATGTGTGTATCTTTGCCTACGGTCAAACTGGCAGCGGCAAAACATTTACAATGGAGGTAAACCCTGAGCGTTGTATTCTCATTTTTTATAATAACTGATCGTTGACTTCAGTAGTGATTGCCTGCTAAACCCTCTTCACGTCACTAATCGTATAAAGCCCCTAGGGGTTTCTGCAATCAAAGACGTTTTCAAGGGAAGGGCGCGGTCTTTACGGTCATGAGTCACGCAAGACTAAAGCGAATAGGAGCGCTGCTTCTAATCATGTTTGCAAGCCATGTATTCGTAGTCTCTTTAGACTTGTCTGGAGACGTCGCTTTCTTAACGTGAACTCATGTGAGGGTAGCGGAGTGTTTTCCATAGCTGATTCACAATTCGCCAGAGTTTATTGAGGAAGAGATGGTTAAAGGTTAAGAAAAGGCGGAGAACACAGCGGTTAATCTGTATTGCTGAAGCTCGAGGCAGACTCTTTTTTTGTCATAGAAAAAGTAAAATGTTTTTGAAGCTTTCGATATAATTCTTTCACCTTTATTCTAAGATGACATGAAGTTGCTTTTGTGTTTGTTTCCAGGGCCCGTCTTCCAATCCAGGCTTAAATCAGAGAGCACTGAAACTTCTGTTCGAGGAAACACGTGACAGGGGAGTTGACTGGCACTTCAGTATCAACGTGTCTGTCATCGAGATCTACAATGAAATGATTCGTGATCTACTGGGCGATAATCCTTCAGCCAAGCTTGAAGTGAAACAAGGAAAAGATGGTCTTTATGTTCCTGGCTTGACTGAAATACAGGTCAAGGATGTACAGGAACTAAACGAGGTATGGCTCACCGACCGAACAACCGACTGGATAATTAGTTCCATGATTAGATGTTTGATTGACTGACTGACTGATTGACTGA